CAATCTTCATTCAAAATTGAAGCCAGCAAATGCAACGGATAGTCTATTATGATTCAACGGATAGATTATCCAATCCAGCTATAAATAGCATCCTTGGAAGACTGGAGATGACATGAATGATGAGATACGTTGATACAATAACACAACGAAGCAATCTAAAACAAAGATATCTCATTCACAGTTAGTCCAAAAAGCTTGATAAAGAGAGATTTCTAAACTCCTTATCCAGAAGCAAACTCCTCCTCCTTCCAAAGAGCTATAGTGCAAACACTTGAAGGTCTCCTTGCCTCAAGTACCACACCACGTTGAAGGATACAACTTTTTGATCAAACTTCTTGATTAAAAAGGGGGTAGGTCAACTTTCTTACAAGTTGATCTTGCAAGTCCTATTGTTCGGACCTTGCAGTTGTTGAAGAAGCGTGACCTTCGAAGGAACAACAAAGCCAGCACGAGTGCAGTAGCAACATTGGTCTTGCGAAGATATACCGTGCAGAAATTCACACAAGTGTAATTGTTGGTTCATTATTCAACAACCAACTACATAGTGGATTTTGAGGACGTAGAAGGATTACCCCACCTTCGAACCTCGTTAAAGTTTGCGTGTCTCTCTCTTTTATCTTTACTCTTACTTGCAATTACATTAACTGTGAAAACTAACCCATCCATATTGATTACTGCTCACTCTACCCACCAAATTCCGCACACAATCTAAAGTTCTCAAGAACTCTAGATTAACATTTATTTTCACGTTTTCCAAAGAAACGAAAAAGATTTTAAATTTGTAACAAAGTCTATTCACCCCCCCCCCTCTAAACTTTGTATCTCACCACTTTGGGACCACCAGTTTTGAAGTATGGGTTTATGGTGAGAGGACGTGGGATGTGGAGGGGATGAAGGAGTGGGGAGTAAAGGTGGGTATGAAGAAGAGGTTCTCATTTGGGCAGCCTTGCCTTTCTTGATTTGGCTTTCAACTTTGAGAGCCAACTTTGTAAGATCGTCAAGGGTTTGGTAGTCTTGCAGTTCCACGATGTTAGCTATTTGGACATTCAATCCAAATACATACCTCACAAAAGTTTGTGAATCATCTTCTTGAAGATCACACCTTAATAAGAGTTCCTCGAACTCTCGGTTGTATTCCTCTACAGAACGAGGGCCTTGCTTCAAGTGTTGAAGCTTAGCAAAGTTTTCTTGTATGTAGTTCTCGAGTAGAAACTTCTTCTTCAAGAGTGTTCGCATCTTGTTCCACGTGGTCACCGGGGACTTGTTTTCTCTTCTACGCCTAATGGTGACGTTGGTCCACCATGTTGACGCATACTTTCTGAACTTTAAGGCCACGAGTTTGACCTTCTTCCCTT